GCATATGAAAGTTTCTTGAAGTTCTAATGTGGGTAGGAACACCCTGTTTGTCATGCCCTAAACATAAGACCTACTGTGTGAAACAAATTTGGGAATTTACTGCATGTTTTCCCTGTTGACATTAACACTGACATACATAAATTCTGTTGTCTTGTGATACTTTTCTGAGTGCAGGGTAAAAGAACACCAAAAAGGTTGTTGGCACAGGTAGCAAAAAGAAGGGTGCAAGTAGTGCGACTAGCACTAAGAGGCCCAGGTCCTCTTCTTCTTCTCAGTTTGACAACACCAGATTCCTCACACCTGCTGCACAGGACCGATACCACAACTGGTTCATACATAAAAAAATCATCCAGGAGCGAAGGATCAGTGATTCTCTCGAAGACGATTTCCCAGTGAGAAAGACCATTGAGAGGAGACAATGGCAACATTTGGTGCAGTTCCCTAAAGCTAGCTCCAGCACAATATTGAAGGAATTCTGTGCCAATGCTGATCCAGACACAATTGATAATACCAGGACGAGTTGGGTGAGAGGGAAATAGGTCTCTTTCTCAGCAATGACCATAGAGAGATTCCTTCAAACCACATTTGACCGTAAAAATAAATGTCACCTTGCTAAAACCTTCAACAAGCTACAGCCTACTTACGGGCTATATAGAGAAGACATGCCTGACATTGGTGAGAGAGTCAGGATAGCAATTACCAAGCCACAGTCTGCTTGGAAGCCCAAGAGTGGTCAGCCTGATGTGCCCGAAAAATTAGATAGGCTGGACCTTAATGAAGAGGCTATTTTTTGGCATTCTTTTATCAACTCCAACATTATCGCTTCCACCAATCTGAGTGATGTCAATGTGGAGCGAGCAGTACTGTTGTATACTCTCCTGGGAGAGGAGAATCTCCACATTGGAGCTATTCTGTCTGATATGATAGTTTCCATCATCACTCAGGGAAAGCCTGACCATCGCCTAGCACATTGTTCATTGATTGAACAACTATGTGTGCAGGCTGGAGTAGAGATACCAGAGGAGGAGCCCCGAGATGTAAAGCTGAAGAGGGAAATGACGCAGAGTCATTATTGGGCTATGAGGAATGAATCACGTAAGCAGGCCATCTGGAGGGCATCTGATGACATACTACCTCCTCCTCCACCGGCATCACCTGAGCCGGATGATGAGCCACCAGCCGCAGCCATAGCCCCTACAGCTGATTCCCTTCTCCTCCAGGCTCTGGATCGTCGCACACGGCGGATACAGCTTGAGAACCAGTATATCATGACGATGATGGAGAGGCTCTGCAGTGATCGTGGGATTGACACTGCCAGTTTCCGACCTGAGTTCCCACCACCTTCACCACCTCCTGAGCCAGCAGAGCCTCCTGTAGCTCCTGCTGCGGATGCTGATCCTGTTGCTACTGATGCTGCCATTGCTGATCTCGATGATGATGCTGTCATGGACGACGCATGATTTTATTTTACATAGCATCACTATCACTCACTGCACCCTGACATTTACTTGGGCATTTTCATTTTGATGTTTTGAGTACTTTGTTGGTTTATATGGTTGGATTATTTCTCCTTATGCAGTACATTTTCATGATTATTCTGTGTTTACTGTTTAACAAGTGTGTGTGTGTGTGTGTGTTCCATCTGGCAGAATTAGCCCTTCGACTAGTATAGTTTGTTGCTGAGGACAACAATGTTCTAAATCTGGGAATTTTCGCATGCTGTATGCGAGACTTGCTAAATACTGTGGAACTACAACACGGAAAGGACGTCTACACAGAAATTTTTCTAAAAAAAGGGAGATATTTTAACCTTCATTTTTTTTTATTTGCTGTTTTTAGTTAGATTCAAATTTTTAAAGAAAAAAAGAGAAATTTTTTAGAGAATTCCTAAACAAGCAGTTCCAAAATGTTCTAAGCTTACTCAGTAAATAATTAGATTGAGTTGGATAAAGCATTATATCTGTGAGCAATTAATTGTTTTAATCTGAGAATGATGACTGCTCATTTTTATAACTTTTTTGGTAGAAATTTTTGGTTAATGCTTGATGTGAAATTGTGAATTAAGATTCTAGTTTGAATTATAACTGTGAGGATTTAAGCCTAAACATAAATTTTTTTAGAGAGGCCTCACTGTAGTAGTTTCTAGAACTTGAACTGTTTCTCTGGCTTGCATGCTTTACTGAAATGATAAGGGCATTTTTATTCTTGTTAACTTAGAGCCAAACAACCTACCCATAAGAATTTCCATTGTTAAGCCCCTTTGAGCCTTAAACCAGTTCATTCAAACCTGATGAAAATTACTTAATCTTGTTCCTCTTGACACACCTTAAGAGATTGAATGCTGATCAAAGAAGAAAAGTCAAATTACTTCTCAAAAGGAAAAGTTAAGCAGCTGAACAAGGAAAAGAAGAAAAATTACAGCTCAAAAGAGAAAAGAAAGAAAACATCTGCAAACAAGGAAAGAAAAAGGTAGTGAAGAAAGGGAAAGAATCCCAAGTTTGTAAAATGAGGCAAAGCCTAGAAGAGAAGGAAGTATTGTTAAAATCAGTATTTCAATCTCTCCAATCAGCTTCTGACCAAAAGATTCTCACCCCCAAACCAGGCCAAGTTACAACCTATCAAAGACCTTTTGATCAGTCTATGCATGTCAAATGGATTCCTCATTCTTAGGAATTGAGAATAAGTTCAAGCCTATGGAATTCCTACTACATTGATGGATAAGTGTGAAACCCTAAAACACTAAGTGTGATGAGAGTACATTTAAATTGATGAGGAATATTCAAGCTGGAGTTTAAATTCTTGATATAACTGAAAAGCATTATTGGGAGTTTTTAACAAAGAGTTATACATGCATAACAGTCTGAATTCTTAAGATGTTGTGTTCCATGTTTTCACTGAATTATTAGTTGCTGATAACTTGAATCTATTACATTGCTGAGGACAACAAAGTTTAAATCTGGGAATTGTTTGATATGCGTTCAGCATATAAGGAAATCTAAACCAAAAAGAGAAAGAATGTTGATTACATCTTAAGCAAAAAGGGCAATAATCACTGTTGATTTGTCAAAATCTTAATCAGAAATTGCATACTGATTTTGTGTTGATTTCGTAGGAAAAACAGACAAATTGGAGCTAAAGAGAAAAAGCTAAACTGAAGGCCCACGCTCACAGCGTGGGTATGACGCTCATAGCATGAAGGGAGCCCTTTCAGACAGAAGCGACCACGCTACTGGCGTAGGAACCACGCCAGTAGCGCCAGAGATCAAATTCAGGCAGAAGCTACCACGCTAGTAGCGCCATACCCTCAAAAAGCTCACGCTTGCAGCGTGGAAACCACGCTAGTTGCGTGGTGCTCCAGGATTATAAAGAAAAACTCCCACGCTCACAGCGTGGTAACCACGCTAGTGGCGTGGGAGGTGCGGACAATCAGCATTAAATTCTTTTTAAATCAAAGACAAGATTACAGTGAGATGCAGAAAAGATTAGATCAAGATTCTCCACCAGGTCAAGGACTCTATAAATAGAGACTCAGACCTCAAGAGAAAAACACACTTTTGCACGGGAGAAATTGCGAGCAACAGGAATCGGAGCGAGCTTTCGGTGCCTGAAGAATCAAGATTTCTTCTTCCATTCTTTTCGGTTAATTTTAGTTTTATGAATTCTTTTGAATATTTTGTTTTGTCAGACATGAATATGTCTGGCTAGTCTTTTTATATTGTGGTAAGGGTCACAACCTTTGATGTGAACCCCTTGTATTTTGGTTAAGTTTATAGTTAATTATTTCAATTGAATTTATTTTACTCTGTTCTTCATCCATAATTCTTTTAGAATTCGTGACTCTATTAGGATTGCAAAGGCTAGGGTTTTCAATAGGAATATTGGGATTCTAATTCCTGACAAAGGATAAGATAATTGTTCATGTATGCACTAGGGATAGGCTACATGAACTGCAACATGGAAAATTCACTGAGTTAAAAAGATTAACTTGAAAAAGGATTTTTAAGGAATTAGGATTCTAATAGGGTTAATAAAGTTAAGATCACTAAGGGATTAGGGCTTAACTAATTGATAAATAGATGGTGAATTGTTTGATCAATTGGGTAATTAAATATAAATATTAATCAAGATTACAAGGTGTGGATCGGAAAGGTGTTGGAGTCCTTTACTGCAATAGCTTTTTATATATTTTTCTCAACTCTCAAACTTTTTACTTTAAGTTTTCAAACTTCTCTTTGAATTGTTCACGAAATACTGAATAGTTCACAATTGTCACAACACAATTACTCTCAAAAACCCCTTTTGTTAATCCAATAAGAAAGGAATAGTTAAATTAAATTTGATGCCTCCATCCTCGTGGGACGATATTCTTACTCACTTTTATTACTTGGTACGATCGGTGCACTTGCCAATTTTCCGCAACAGCTACCGACGGTACTTCTTGACAACTGCAAGAAATTGATTGACATGAAGGATGGCAGAAGCATTTAAGTTTACGAGGGAGTTTTGTTGAATAAACATTAAATGTCAGTTTAATTTTTAATGGGTTTAATTCAGCAGTCAATTTAATTTTTAAAGGGTTTAATTCATCAATTTTTTAGGAGAATTAAAGGTCAAAGTCAGCAGTTTTTTTTGGTTTAAATGTTCAGTTTTATATTTTTAAGTTTCTGAAGTTACATGAGTTTATTGTGGTGTTAAGTGTCTTTATTGTGGAGTTACAAGTTTTGTAATTTAAAAACTATTGCTTGAATGTGAAAGTTACCACTTCTGGCTTAGTGAAATATATCTCCTCTGTTTTTACTCTTCTCATAACAGTAATAACACAGCTTCAATTCTATAAATAGCCTTTGTTATTAACAGTCAATCCTCAACTAATCATTTACAACAAATATTTTTATAGTAACAATTTTCAGTCTCAAACTCGATTGCACAAAATGGTATACAACTTAACTAGGTGGCGAAAATGACTACACAAAGGTTATAGATAAAGCAAAACTAAGTTCTCAACTAGCGATACCCTGTCTCTTTCTTTGATGGACAGACTTTAGACAATCCTTGGCATGATGAACTATGGACTGGAGGTAAAAACTCCCATTCTTGGCATTATTCTCAAACAAGTGGTCATATTTCTGCAAGGAAGAAATGTGTTTAAGCAAAAACAAAAAACAACAAATGGGTCATAACCACAAAACAAATAATAGACTAACCTTCACAATCTCTTCCCAGGGAGTTTTCTCAGTAACACCAAGAGTCTGCCTAGCCTCTTGCTCTGTCATCGATTTGCCAACTCTGTGAATAGTATTTTGTATTGTCTCTTGAGCAACACCATTTTTTGAGGCATCTAGAACAACATAATGTTAACAAAATGAGAATATTCAGAACCGCTATATATATTGATTAGCTAAGACATGACACGAGAAAGAAAAACTAAGGACCTACCACATATTTAAATGTATCAAAAAGTAAGGAAATATGGTATTGGACGAAGACAATGGAATTGAGTAGAAGGAGCTTCTATTTCAGTAAAATTTTCAGTGAGGTATCAGATGTTATGTTGAAATTTCGGGACCTAAGTTGTTCAAAAAACAATGTTGCATTTTATCAAAGATTTTGTAAGATGAGGTAGAGAATGCCCTTGCCTTAAGAAGATAAATAAAAGAAAGGAATGCTCAGTGTTGCCACAACAGAAGGCAAGATCTTCACATAATATCTATATATTATAAGAAAGCAGAATAAAGTCCCTAACGAGATTCTCTTGAGACTTAGGCAACAAATGGGAGTAAACCAGACATTCAAACAAACATGGATATGTTTGGTGGTGTAAGTGAGGAGTTTCCAATACAAATAGGTTTGTGGAGACCAAAAAATACTTTTGAGACTAAAATGACTCCAGCTGAGTGGATCAGAGGATAAAGGGGTTATGATGTCACACATTGTATCCAAGAACAAGTAGGGGAAGACGGAAGGAGCCTCAAATATGTTGGATGACCATAAAATGGCCAAAAAATTGAAGAAAAAGTTTTACCAAACTTTAGTTAGACCTGGAATGTTGTATGGAGAATGTTGGTGGTGAGTGCTAGTCTTAGGCAAAAGCTATAAGGTCATAGAGATGATGGGTATATGGGCACCATAGAATGGATAAAACATGAGGACTTAGATCATAAGGGAGAAATTGGAATGGTTTCTATAGAGGAAAATTACATCAAACTTTTTAAGATGGTTTGGTCTTGTAAAACAACAACACACAAGCCCCAATAAGATGTGAAATTATAAACTATTGTGGTGTCACCCTTAAAGTCAGGTTGAGTGAGACCCAAAAAGAAATGGTTGGAGACTCTTTAGGGCAGACATAGTGTTGTAAATAATAATATTTGTTTATTTATTTTTATTCTAGAATCTTCTTTGGGCTTAGCCCATTAGGATATTTAGTCTCTTTAAATAGAGAGTATTTGTACAGATGTATTACACAATTTTATCAATAAGACTATCTCTTTTTCAACTTGGTATTATAGTTCTCAATTCTGAGGGCTTTACTTCCGCAAATCACCGCCTTTAAAAATCAACCGTATTTGCCTCTCGTCACCGGAAAAAAAAAATCGGGGACCTTTTGGACCGTGAGGACCCCTGTTTCACTCTGTTTTCTCAGATCTATCATTCTACGGAGGTTTCTTTTACATCAAAAGACCAGAACAACTAAAAAATAAAAACACTGTTCACGGGGCACTGTTCATCGCTACTGTTCACGGGGCACTGTTCATCGCTAATATTCACGGGGGCACTGTTCATCGCGCACTGTTCATTGGTTACTGTTCAAGCAAACAAAAAAACCTTTCCCTGCTTGGTTTTGTCTCTTCTTTCCAGATCTGTGTTTTCTCGTCGGTCGGACATCATTTGGATTTGCGTTTGTGTCATTTTCACCTCAATATTATGGAGGGTTCAAATGGTGCATCTTCGGAATTTATTTTTATTCGCCGAGTTGAGTTGGAGCAGATTCGTACTATGCTCGATTTTCTGAGTAAGCCAGCTAATACTAGTGTTTTGGCCACGACTGGTATGAGCTCCACAACTCATTCTTTTCTTTCTTCTTGTACTAATTTTAAACATTCTTGGATTATCGATTCTGGTGCTACTGATCATATGGCTTGTTGTGCTGACTTATTTCTTTCTTATAACCCTACTATTGACACCCATACAATAGCTGTAGCTGATGGCTCACACACATCAGTTACGGGTTCTGGTAACATATATTTACAACATTCCTTACATCTCCAAAATGTTCTTTATGTTCCCAAACACTCCACTAATCTTCTTTCTATCCATAAAATTATCAAAGATTTGAATTGCACTGTAACTTTCTTTCCTACTCACTGCGTTTTTTAGGATCTCGCCACGAGAAAGACGATTGGGGGTGCTAAAGAGCAAGGTGGGCTGTACTATCTAGTGCCAGAATCTTCTGCAAAGTATGCTAAAGATCACACCTTGTTGACTCAATCTCAGTCTACTGCTGACTCTTTGATTTGGCTCCACCATAAATGCTTGGGTCATCCTCCATTTCGTTTGCTTAAGTCTTTATTTCCATCACTATTTTTGTCTAAGTCTGTTGAGTGTTTTCATTGTGATGTTTGTGAGTTTGCTAAACACCATCGTGTCTTTTTTCCTTCTAGTACCCTTAAAAGTCTTGAGCCTTTTGATCTTGTTCATTCTGATGTTTGGGGTCCTTATAAAGTTTCTCATGCTTCTGGTAATAAATGGTTTGTTTCTTTCATTGATGATTGCACTCGTGTAATCTGGGTTTATTTAATGCATGAAAAATCTGAGGTACCACAGTTATTCTTTCGATTTTATAAAATGATTGAGACCCAATTTGGAAAAAGAATTAAAAGACTAAGGTCTGACAATGGTACCAAATATGTCACTCAGTGTCTTTCCAAATTCATCCAAGATCAGGGCATGATTCATGAACTTACTTGTGTGGACACCCCTTAACAAAATGGAGTTTCTGAGAGAAAGAATCGTCATCTTCTTGAAGTTGCTCGTGCCTTACTTTTTCAGAATCATGTAACCAAATGCTATTGGGGAGATGCCATTCTTACTGCAGCTTTCTTAATCATCTGTTTGCCCTCTCGGGTCCTTGACAATGTAAGTCCTATTCACTCAATGACTTCATTCTTTTCCTCTGTTCCCTCTATGCAGAGTCTTCAACCACGAGTGTTTGGGTGTGTTGTCTTTGTCCACGTTCATAAACATCTTCGCAGTAAGTTGGATCCTAGGGCTCTCAAATGTATCTTTCTTGGTTATGCCTCTGATAAGAAAGGCTACAAGTGTTATCATCCTGCTAGTCAGAAATTCTTTGTCTTAATGGATGTCACATTTCATGAATCTGAGTCCTTTTTCCCAAGTCCTCATCTTCATGGGGAGAGAAATTCTTTAGTAGATTCATCACCTTCTATCTTTGAGTCTAGACCTTCCATGCTTTCTCCTACACCTCTTCCTCCTGTTTCTGATTCTTTTGTGTCTGACCCATCTGATACACCGAAAATACGGAGGATTGTGACACCTGAGTTGGTATATCACAGGAGAAAGCAGCCCACACTACTTCACCAGCAACCTCAATCGTCTGAACCACTGGTAAGTCTTGAATCTCTTGTTTCTGATTCTAATATTATTACTTCTCCTGTTTCTGAACCTAATATTGTTGCATCTAATGATTTGTCTGTTGCTTCTGATAGCTTACCCAGTACCTCTGATGACATACCTATTGCCCTAAGAAAAGGGAAAAGATCTTGTACCCAACACCCTAACTCTCATTTTGTCTCTTCGACTAACCTTTTTGTGCAACACAAAAGCTTTATTTCAACACTAGCTTCTATCTCAATCCCAAAATCAGTACATGAAGCATTAAAAGATGAAGATTGGGCTCGAGTCATGCAATATGAGATGAATGCCTTGGAGAAAAATAAAATATGAGAGGTTGTTGATAGACCTGATAGAAAGAAAGCAGCAGGGTGCATATGGGTTTATGCCTTGAAATATAATTCTGATGGTGCTCTTGAGAGATATAAGGCTCGGTTAGTTTCCAAGGGTTACACTCAGACCTATGACATTGATTATGAAGAAACTTTTGCCCCAGTTGCAGAAGTGAATACTGTGAGAGCTTTGTTGTCCCTTGCTGCCCATTACAACTAGGATATGAATCAATTTGATGTGAAGAATGCTTTCCTTAATAGTGAGATAGAAGAAGAAGTCTACATGGAAATCCCACCTGGCTTTGGCTCTATGGATGGAGGAAATAAAGTTTGCAGGTTAAAATAGGCCTTGTATGGATTGAAACAGTCTCCTTGTGCCTGGCCTTAGGATATAAACAGAGTCAAGAAGATCACACACTATTCTTCAAGCACTCCCTAAATGGGAAGCGTATTGTACTCCTTGTATATTTTGATGATATTATTATAACAGGTGATGATATTGCTGAGAAACATTTTCTACAAGCACGACTAGCCTTTGAGTTTGAAGTTATAGATCTTGGGAGATTGAAATATTTCCTAGGAACTCATTCAAAGGAAGGAATTTTTTTCAGCCAGAGGAAGTATGTCCTTGATCTTTTTAAAGAAGCGGGAAAACTTGGGTGTAAACCCTCTAGTACTCCTATTGAGCAGAATCACAAGATGAGTTATGAAGAGGAGAGTCCTCCAGTTGATAAAGGATAATATCAACGGTTAGTTGAGAGACTGGTATATTTGGCTCATACTATACCAGATATTTCTTATGCTGTTAGTATTGTAAGTCATTTCATGTATAATCCAAAAGAAAAACACATACAGACAATGGAGAGAATTCTTCAATATCTTAAAGGCACTCCTGGTAAAGGACTGTTGTTCCGGCGTAATTGCAATCTCTCTTTAGAAGTTTATATCGATGCTGATTATGCTGGATCCGTAATTGATCGTCGATCTACCACTAGTTATTGTATGTTTCTTTGTGGTAACCTAGTGACATGGAGGAGTAAGAAGCAGGACGTGGTTGCTAGATCGAGTGCTGAGGCTGAATTTCGAGCTATGGCTCAAGGCTTTTATGAATTATTGTGGTTGAAAATTATACTTGGTGATCTTAAAATAAGATGTGAAAGACCTATGAAGTTGTTTTGTGATAATAAGTTCGTCATTTGTATAGCTCATAATTCAGTTCAACATGATCGGACTAAGCACATTGAGGTCGACCGCCATTTTATCAAAGAGAAGCTTGATAGCGGGTTGATCACCACTCCATACATCCCTTCTGGACGTCAATTAGCTGATATTCTAACAAAAGAACTTCCCTCAGAAAGGTTTCAAGAGCTTACTAGCAAGCTGAGAATAATAAATATCTATTCCTCAGTTTGAGGGGGAGTGTTGTAAATAATAGTATTTGTTTATTTATTTTTATTCTAAAATCTTCTTTGGACTTAGCCCATTAGGTTATTTAGTCTCTTTAAATAGAGAATAATTATACATATCCAGTACACAATTTTATCAATAATACTATCTCTTTTTTCAACTCATAGCAACATGAATCAGATACAGAAACAAGCACAGAGGCTGGCTTGCTATTGCGGTACCACTCTTAAAAGACAGGTAGAGTGAGACCCAAAAAGAAATGGTGGGAGACTCTTTAGGGCAAACGTAGCAACATGAATCGATGATACAGAATCAAGCACAGTGGCTTAGTATGGCCGTATCACCCTTAACCCAAAAAAGAAGAAGTAGAAGAGCTCTCCAATCTGGATATCCAAATAAATGGGCAAAAACCCAAACAGAAGCCATTTAAACCACTGTATAATAAAAGATTTGAAAGAAGAAATGTCTGGTTGGATATTCTGCCATTTTGTTCCATCTTCAAGCACCAAATCCCTACCGACGAAGAACAATTCCAAAGGGCTTTACACTCCTTCAAACCAAAATGCCATACCAATTCCAAAGCTTCCAAGCAACTTAACAATACAAAAAGCGATGATTAATACTATCTGAACTTCAAAAACACATAACACAAACATAAGAAAAATAGTCATGAGAGGTCTGAGTCCAAAACATCACTTGTATTAATTCTATTAAGGATCACATCAACATCAACACCACATTTATTCCAAACGGGAATCCCAATTTTGATTGAATAAAATGACTCTTTCTAATTTGGAATCTGTTTCTAAAATGACAGGTTGATCAAAACTTATTTTACAGATTCCAAATTAGAAAGAGTCATTCATTCAATCAAAATTGGGATACCCTGGATCTGGCTTGTCTCTTGGGGTGGGCAACATGAAGATCAGAATTATGGGTGACCTGAATAGTCCAAAATAAAAAGGGAATTGGCCTATGATCAATTCAGTAACAAGGAAGGAGACTTAATCTTCCAAAAATTCTTAGATATCTATAAAAATTGAGTGTTTTAATCATGAGTTAGAAAATGTATCTATTACTTGCATATATAAGAAACAGATCAGTCCAAATGCTCAACTTTCCTAAAGGCTAAGGCTATGAAAAGGATCAACTCTCAAAAGCTTAAGCATTTAAGTAAAGGCTCATGAAAGGTTCTATATCTAAAAGGCCACAATCTGTCTAACACACAAATTTAAGGGGTGTTTGTTTCAAGTTTTTGAAGAGGATTACCGGTAATCCTTCTTTGGTAAATGTAATTACCACGTTTGGTAGAAGGAATAAATTACGATTCCCGGATATCCAAGGATTACCGGTAATTTGATTTATAAAGAAAAGTCACTATTCAGATTACCAAAAATAATATGGTAATTCGGAATACCAATGAGAATACCAAGTAAAGGGAAAGCACAACAATAAATTTTGAGACAAAAATACCCCAATACACATAAAAATCTAGACCCAATCTATCAATTACAAAAGTAAAAATAGTTTGGGCTTATTTTTGTAAAATAACCTCATATTCCAAGTCATATTTCGTTCTAAACCAAATATGGAATCAGTAATTTTTACCCAATATTCCCGGTAATATTTTGGCGAACCAAACACCTCTTTTGTAAGATTCCAAGTAAACTCAATTTCTACTGTATTCCCATTAATCATGATTCCCGGTCATCAAAAAATTTCTCTTGTACCAAACACACCCTTGTATCAAAGAGTAAGGAAATGTGGTAGTGGACAAAGACGATAGAATCGAGTAGGAGGAGCTACTATTTCAGTAAATTTTTCAGTGAAGTATCAGATGTTATATTGAAATTTTGGGACCTAAGTTGTTCAAAAAGCAATGTTGCATTTTATCAAAGAATTAGTAAGATGAGGTAGAGAAGAAGATGAATAAAAAAAGGTCAGAGTGTTGCCACAATAGAAGGCAAGATCTTCAAACAATATACGAAAGCAGAATAAAGTCCCTAACGAGATTCTCTTAAGCCTTTTGCATCATAAGGGAGTATAGCAGACATTCAAACACAAATGGATATGGTCAAGGCAATAACAAATTTTGGGACATTTGGTTGTGTAAGTGACGAGTTTCCAATACAAATAGGTTTGTGGAGACCAGAAAATACTTTAGATACAAACGTGATTCCAGCTGCGTGGATCAGAGGATAAAAGGGTAAAAAAAATAAAGCAAAACCAGGTAGTAGTAGTAGTATAAGAAGAAGAAGAGCTCTCCAATTAGATAACCAAATAAAAGGGCTAAAACCCAAATAGAAGCCATGTAAAACATGAAAAAAGATGAGAAAGAAGAAACATCTGGTTGATTATTCTGCCATTTCGTTCCATCTTCAAGCACCAAATCCCTACCAACAAAGATCAGTGCCAAAGGGCTTTACACTAGGCAGTAATAAAAAATTACTCAGAATTTTGACAAAATTATGCTAAACTCAAACCTGATTGTTGGATAAAGGTAGAGGTCATTCATCCATCAAAGGGTCAATAAACATGGCAGAACATTTTGTCAAAAATTCTAACAAAATAGTTATTCTTGCTATCTAGCATTTTCCTACTTATTTATCTATCTGTAGTTGTTAGATGCTGATAACTAAGGCCTCT